TTTGGCGAGACCTTCGCAACAGTGTCCTTGTTTCGTCATAGGGTGTCTGGAAGTTGGAGGTCCCAGGGGACGCCAGCTTCCACCGGACGCTGTTGTCTCAGGTCCCCGGCCGGGCGCAGGTTAAGTAGAATGTTCCAAGCTTGAAGACACTGAAGCAAGCATCAGATATGATGAAATAAGCTCAGTTCTAACCATTGGCATATTTTTAAGTGGGAAACGCTGCCGTAGACAATACAATTTCTTTGTTTTGTAAATATGCTGCTCAGGGCGTCATTTACGTCGACGTCGATTACGTCGACATGCCTTGCACAGCATTGATTCAGAGCCAATTTACAGTTGTTATGTCTGGAAATCGCACTCACGAACGCCAGATATGAATGACTCGACAATTATATTTTTATTGGCCTTGATCGCCACAAGGCCAATGGAATGGCAGGATTTAAATGGTGTTATTATGGTGCCATGGATTTTCAGGTGACCTTGAACTAGTCTGCTCAAAAAAGTCTGCATATATTTGCGGGCGTGTAGCTAAAAAACTAGCAGGGTTTAGGTATTAAGAAGGGCACGGCTGTAAACTGCACCAAATAATCTGCAAGATGATTTTCAGTTGAAAACTCCATACAAATACGGAACAGTTGTTTTAACGCACTCCATTTGTGGGTAGATGTGCCACCGTTACTGCCTTTTCTCTCATGAATTATGTTATGCATGGAGTGGGAGAATGAGATGAATTATGTTATGCATGGAGTGGGAGAATGAGATGAATTATGTTATGCATGGAGTGGGAGAATGAGGTGGATTATGTTACGTATGGAGTGGGAGAATAGGGTGAACTGTGTTATGCACGGAGTAGGAGAATGAGGTGAATCATGTTATGCACGGGGTGGGAGAATGAGGCGAATTATGCTATATATGGAGTGGGAGAATGAGGTGGACTGTGTTATGTATGAAGTGGGAAAAGGAGAGTGTAACAGAAGCGTAACGGGTGAGGGAGGAAGACGTTAGACAGCCTTACCCTACGCGTAACTTACGTTAGCGTGGCTGCAAATAGCGATAAAATCTTTAAAAACGACATAAAACCTTACAGGTGCATGACGCTGGCGTCCCCTCTTGGCAAGGAATATGTCTTTTGTTTGTTTTGCATCTCTAGCTCAAATAGATGACACATCGACGTTGCTTTTTGAGACGTTACAGTTAACACGACGTAATCAAGGGAAATGCAGGTTTCGCCCAGCGTAACCAGTGCCGAAGAGGTAGAAAGAGTTAAACATTTTCAAAGCCGTGTGACGCGATAGTCGAACCTCTCCTTTTCAACGATTCGCTTCTTGGTTTTTGACGGATGCACAAGCAGAATATATGGTCGCTGTACAAATATGTTTCGTATTCTTTTTACCTCGCGTATCATGGGCAGCGGTTATTGCATTATCAGCGGAGACATTTTGAGTTCAGATTGTAAGAACAGGAAATGACTTTGAGCATGATCCCAAGTCCATGGACCAGACCTTGTTTACTTTCGGATAAATCATAGCCGATAACGCCAGGCGGAACATGATCGCTGCTGAGATTTGAACCCCAAACCTATAAGCCGCAGATATCCAGAGTAAGGATAAGTGTGCTACAACTACGTTGCACTTAGTCCTCCGTTTGTCCTGAAGGAAAATATCATGTTGTGGTCATAGTCATGGTCTAAAGAACTGTCATTGGCTTCATTAAAGTGTATTTTAAAAAATTCCAATCCGTTTTCAATGAATCCTTGAACGCGAAACGGGCCATCTAAACCGTTTTAAAATCGTTCGCACTTCAAGAATGTTTACGTTCCTGATTGAGGCCTCCATCAAAAGCCTCAAAATGATTTACAGGACGGCAAATCACTATTGCTCGCAAACTGTTCTCTTTAAAAGGAGTGATTTTTTAGATGGTCTACTGAAGATGTATTTTAGCACAACGATTTTGTGTTTTGGAGAGCAAATGCATTACGCCATGTAACGCACCACATTGACAGCCTGTTCAAGCCTAGCACCTCTTGTTTCTCAGCCTTATGTGGCTTATGAATTGGTTGCCGCTAAGGCACTTTAAATTAAATTGAGCTTGCGTTAGAATCATGCGAGAACAATGGAAAAAATTGTCAACTGATCTTGCCGAAATTGTGCGTGTAGCAGCAGGCCAGTGATTGTCATATGAATGCAATTTTCTGATTAGAATATAGCTAGCAGATGACCAGTTTTCCAAAACCGTAGTTGACAGCGTCGATGGACCATTGTCTCCTGGTCTATTACAGGCCGGTTATTCTCAACGGAAGAACCGATAATGTCGTTGACGCTGATCGGATAAACAATTATTTCCATCTAGTAGCTTAGAGACGGCAAACATAGCGTAAATTCCTCATTACAGAAACTGACAATTGGTGTAATTCTGATCGCAAAAGGATCAAAGCATAACCTCGCGTACATGCGTTTGGCACATTACAGAATATGGTCTGATCCAGAGTAAGGTGTGAGGTTTCCTGTCGATATAAGGACACTATTGGATACCTTCCCCTGGCCAACGAAGGCTTTGTTGGGTGCCCTGAGTTCCGACGTCTGAGGTGCCGGCTAGGTCTACATCCCGCAAAAGCCAATGCTTGAAGGC